CGCAGCCGCAGCCGCAGCCGCAGCCGCAGCCGCCAGTCGCCAAGAAGGCTGCCCCCGCAATGTCTCCGGACCTGGCCCCGCGGGATTCCCCCTCGAGCTTCACATCGACCGTCTCGGCGTCGGCTCCCCCGGCCGCGCGGGGTGCTGCCACTTCGGACGCGCGTCCTGGCATCTCGGCCACCACGGCCACAGTGGCGCCGAGCGTTGGCCCCTCGGGCCCTCAGCAGCAGCAGCACCAGGCGCCTGGCTCCAAGCAGCGCACTCGCGGCGGCAGCCGGGCCTCCTCTCCGGCGGACGCGGCAGCCCCCCTCGGCTCTTCGTCCTCCTCCAGTGGGGTGCTCCCCCGGCAGTCGCCGCTCATGCTGCTTGCCGGGAAGCGTGCCCTCGGCGGGGCCACTTCCTCCGCGTCACCAGGCTCGACCTCCGCCGAGGCGGATGCCCCGTCCGCGCGGTCGCACGTGTCGATGGCGGAGCCCTCCTCGGCAGCCAACCTCATCGAGGAGTCCTGGTCCTCGCAGGCCATCAGCATCCAGACCCTGCAGGGGGAAGTCGGCCATGTGGCCGCATCCCGGCCCGTGGCCGATGAGGCCGAGGTCGATTCGGTGGCTGCCTCGGCTGGGCCGATGGCCACTCCGGCCCCGGTGGGCGGTGGCGACGCCGCTCCGGCTTCGGCTTCGGCTTCGGCTTCGGCTTCGGCCCCGGCCCCAGTGACTCCGGCTCGGCCAACGGCCAGTCGTCCAGTTGCCCGGCCCGAGCCCGTCTACGAGGTTACCGACAACCTGGAGGCCACCCCCTCCGGGGTGTATGTTGCCACGCCGACGGTCGAGACCATCACCATGTCCACCATGCGTCAGCTGGACTCCGGTGTGTGGGTCCCGGTCATCGAGGACACCGACGGCAGTGGTGCCCCTCACCCGCAGGATCTCCTGAACTCGACGGCATCGCCCGCGACTTGCTCTTCTTCTTCCTCCTCCTCCTCCTCCTCCTTGTCCCCGTCCGCCTCCTCGGCTGGCCCGTCGGCCGCTACCACCGGCACTTCCGGCTCGGCCGTGGCGGCCAGCGCCCTTTCCCCGGCCGCCGCCATCAGTCCCAGCCGCTCGCTCCTGCAGCCGATCACCGGCCTGGGCCTGCCACGCCCGGCGCGCCAGGCCTCGCCGCCTGCCTCTGCCACTTCCGTCACGCCTGCGACCATGGCTGCCGTCGCAAATGCCGCCACTCCGGCTGCCGATGCCCCGGCGGCCGGTGCTGCTGCTGCGCCGGCTCCTCTGGCCCCGGCCACCCTGACCGACAAGCCCGCCAATCCCTTTGGTCGTGGTGAGAACATCGGCGGCGGCGGCGGCGGCAGCAGCAGCTCGGCCACCTCTTCCGCCTCGGTCTCGAGCCCGGTTCCCAGCTCCGCATCGTCCCTCGGCCGTGAGCTCGGTCGTGGTGGTCCTTTCGTCACCAGTTCCCTCAGCTCGGCCCCCGGCGTCGCAGCCGGCAGCGGCAACCCGGCGATTGGCACGCCCTCCTCGGCAGCCGGTACGGCTGGCCCCGGGCGCACCGCCGGTCGCGACTTTGCCGGCATCTCCCGTTCGGACATCCCAGGCCCCTCGGCCTCGGGAGCCCCGGCGCCAACTCTCTTCGAGCGCGGGTCTCTGGTTCAGCAGCAGCAGCAGCAGCAAGGCCTGCAGCTCCAGCACCCGGGAACTGGCCCCTGTTCTGGGGCTGGGGAGTCCTTCTCGGCGGTGGCCCCGGCCGATCGGCCATGCTCGGCGGCCACCGTGGCTGCCATCGTGGCTCGGGCCTACCCGGCCAGCCCGCCACCTGCGGTGGACTTCCTGCCGGCCGAGCCCCGGTCCGGGGACAGCCCTGCCCTGCGGCAGCCTTTCCGCTTCCCCTGGACCGTGTACTTCCTGCCGAATGTCCAAGAGCAGGCGGGCTTGCAGCAGCAGGTGGCCGCGGCTCAGGCCGCGGCGGCCCTGCAGAGCCCGGGACAGGCGCTGCGCCTGCCGGCTGACGAGTTGTACAACCGGTGCATGGTCCCGCTGGCCGTGATGCAGACCCCGGCCGAGATGTTCACCGTCCTGTCTAATCTCGAGAGCCCGGTATCCCAGGAGTTCCCCTTCCGCTCTCAGATGCTGATGTTCCGCAATGACATCCTCCCGGACTGGAGCCACCCGCAAAACAGCGGGGTATGTCTCTTCTTTCTTGATTTCTCCCCCCCCCTGCCTCTTTCTTTCTCTCTCTCTCTCTCTCTCTCCCCCCTATGCATCGGCTTTTCTGACATCAGCCACTTTGCCCCCTCGCCGCTTCGTCTCCCCCTCTCTCTTTCCTCCCCCCCTCCTGTGTCCCCGCTTTTTTTTGCCTGAAGGGCTGTCACTATTTCGTGTTCATCCCCTTCGCGGCCGACGACCGCTCGCATGAGCGAAGCTTCACATCCCTGCGCGAGGCCTTCCTGGACTTCATGACCCTCGGTGCCGTGTCCGGCACGCTGCTGTCCACTCTGCATGCGCATCGCCCAGCCGATGTGGACCGTGCGAACGCCATGATGTCGGTCCTGAAGCAGATGCGCCAGCCGGTGTCCCCCGCTGACTTGGCCCTGACGCATGAGGTTCTGTCGCCGATTCTCGGCGGTCCTCGTCTCGGCGATGCCCTGCGCCTGTCCACCGCCGCCCTGGCTGCCGAGCACCCGGATCTTGCGATCAATGGTGTGGTCGTTCAGCGCCGGCACAGCGGCTGTCGGATTGGCTTCTGGGCCTCGCGCCATCTGCCCGAGCTGCTTGTCTGGCTTCAGTGCGTGGCCCTTTCCAGCTTTCTCTCTCTCTCTCTCTCTCTCTCTCTCTCTCTCTGTGTTTTCCCTTTCCATCCGCGGTGTCTTGTCCATGCCCGCAGGGGCCTGGCCGCCCATTCATGCTCTTTCATTAACCACCCAATCGGCCCCGGCCCCTCCTCCCCACCGATCAGGAATTACGTCTTCGCACTTGGTCTGCAGCATGGGGTTCACCCCGGAATGTCGAGGGATTTCGCCGCGGAATTCATCCTCCTTAGGTAAGAACGCGCGGTGCCTATTCCTTTCCCAACATTCAACAGTCAGTAGTGTACCATGCCCCTCCCCACAGAGAAGGCGAAGGCGGAGCACCGCGGCAAGGTCTCGGGGGGCCATGCGCGTAAGCTGCAATGCATGCGCCACACACCGCCAGGTTTCCCCTACGGCAGCACAATTAGATGCTGTCTCGTGGCGTGGCCGATCTAGCACCGTGTGCGCGTATGTATGCGTGCGTGTGCGCGTGTTCATATGCTTTGGCCCATGCGCGCGTGCATGCTCTTCCCGTTCTCCCTTCTTCCCGCTCTCCCTCTCTCCCTCTCTCTCTCTCTCTCCCCCTGGATTGTGCGGCGCTCTGTACTTGTTTTTTTTCTCCGGACGCGCGTGCGTGCGTGCGCGCGCGCGTGTGTGTGTGGCCCCGGCGCCGGCTCCAGTCCCAGTCGTGCCCAGGACACCCTCGCGCCCAGCAACGCAACACCCCTTCTCTTCCCCTCGCAGGTCGGCGGCCAGCAGCGCACACGTCCCGGGAGCGGTCTGCCACCCTTCCCCCCGCCTCCCCCTCCCCCCCCAGGCGTGTGTTCTCTGCCGGCTTGGCATGTGTCCCCCGCGGCCCTGCTCCATATCTCCACCACCCTTCACTCCACTTGTGTCCATGTCCCTTGTTATTTGTCCCTCTCTCCCTCTTTCTTCTTCCCCCTCTCATGTCTGGTGTGGATGTGCGCGTCGGACGCGCGCTGGCATATGTTCATGCCGCGCGCGCGCCCCGCCCGTCCCCAACCAATATACCCTTGTCTTTCGATGGGCCGTGCGTGCGCCGTCAGACCGTCGGGGCGCTTCCATTCGGGGGGGGGGGGGGGGAAGGCACCTCGCGCATCGCGGGATATTCCCTCCCCCCAGGCCAGACATTCCCCCCTGCCGCGCCGAGGAGCCGGGAGCCGGTGCTGGGGCAGCCAGCCGGGGACACGCCCCGGCCCTGTCCCCCTTCCCCCCCCGGGCGAGAGGTTTCATGCCGGCGGACAGACCGCTTGCTCGGGGCGTCCGATGGGAGTTCGTCCCCCCCGGGAGTGGCATCATCCGCGAAATGTGCGGGAAGATTCCCACGTCCGGTGTGGGAGTTTGGGTGTCAGCCCCTGGGAGGCGGGGAGGGCGCCGGTCGGAGCGTACCAGGCAGAAGTCTGGCCAGCGGACCGGGGCGGGGGGGGGGGCGGGGGAGGGCTTCGCAGGAGAGGCTCCAGAGAATGCCCCCCTTTCTGCCGGTGCCCAGGTGCTGACGCGTCCCGTCTAGCCACCGGTGGCGCGGGGTGTCCTGACAAATGCATTGCCACTAGCGTCGCCATGTCAATCGGGGTATCATCACAACAGAGCATCTGCAGGAGGGCCTGCGGGGTTGCCAGATCCTTTTCGCGGCGGAGGCCCCCCGTGAGACGGACAGGGATCCGGACGGGACCAGGATGTGCGCGAAAATGCATGTGCCTCGCATGGTGTGTGTGTGTGTGTGTGTGTGTGTGTGGCGCGAGTAAGGCGCGGAAGAGGAAGAAGAGAAACTGGCCCTTCGAGAGTCACCAGCTGCCCCGACAGCCCCCCTCCCCCGCTCTCCCTCCCCCTGATGCAGGTATCTTTCCTCTTTCATACTCTCCCCCAGTGTTCCTTTGACACCTCGACTGGCATGCAGGCGCCAGCGAGACAGC